AATCCCTGAAAGCAACAATATATGACTTGTGTGTTGTCTTCGGATTGGCAGGTGGCATTCCTGATACGAGGATCTCTCAGTCTGGGCCGCAGGGCATTTCATGCAGTGTTTACTCTCTGCTCTTAGAGAACACCAGCAGTTTGTTTACTTTAGAAGGGATTTTTTAGCAGTTTATCCACATTTAGGCTGTGTTTGAAGTTGTCATTTTAAGGCAATACTGTCAGTTAGTCTCTATTTTTCTGAACCTCTTGCTGCTGGTAAATAACTGGATGTTTAGGATTTAAAATTTGCGAATAATCTAGATTAATCAAAAGAATGTTTACAATTAACACAGCAAATAGTTTGAATTGATTCACAGCCTTAATTAAAACTTGACCCGGCAAATATATAAATGGCTTCATATCCCAGAGTGCAACTTGATGGTAAAATTGTCATCAAGAAAAGATATACAAAAGAGACTAAAACATCAAAATGCTTTGATGCCCAAAATGCCCTTTTTGACCACCAAAATTACAACCAGTGTTGCCAGATTGGGTGGTTTCCTGCCCAGTTGGGCTGTTTTGAATTTGATTATGTGAGTAAAAATGGCATAGGTAGGTTTTTGGAGAAGGGTCTGAAGGGTCTGGCTGCAGATCTGTACTTGAACTTTCAGGCTTGCACTCTTGGACTTGCACTCTCAGGCACCTACGCTTCCTCTGCAACTTGCAATTAACACAAATAAACTGGAAGTTTCCAGTTTGTTTGCATTGCCAGTGACGACGTTGTCTAACAATTCTAAATACCTAAGATGTATACAATGACAGATCCCCTGAAAATAGGTTTGTGTATTCATATGATTATAATGCTTTAATGTAAATTTACAAAAGCAGGACAGCTGGATACACATAATGCAGATGTCAATGCAAGTGATGTGGCAGAAGAGTGCAGAGCTCTGTGGAATGAAAGTCCTTAACCAAAATAAAAAAACAAGATCAACTTAAGGAATTTAAGGCTGCCATTAAGTATTTTCCCTTAGTCCTTAGTAACAATTTCCTTTTAAAATATTTAAGGGACCTTTTCAGCTCTCTTATATGAACAAATTACACTCAAAATGCAAGCATTCTCACCCAATTAAAATTGTTTTAGATAAAAGACCCACAGAACTGTAGATAAATAATGTAATAAAATCATTTAATAGATAAGCTAATATAATGTTATACGTGTCTGGGCAGGAGTGCATCCATGTAAAATTGCAGTTTCAGTGCAGCTTCAAAAGTCTCTACCTGATCCCAGTCCAGTTTACAGGTCCTCCAAACATAATGTCGAGATCAACTCTATAAGGGATATATACTGTCTTAACGGGGGGGGAAAATGGCACATATAATGCGTACTGATGTGTACTTGTAACGAATATGGCAGCTTACCATTCATCCGCCCACCAGAGGGAGCTCTCTTCCGAATATTGACTGGGTACTTCCTCTGTGGTACTTCCTGGTAGCCACCATATATAAGCACACTGCTTATGTGTATTCATTGCGAAGTATTGCCAGTTTCACTGCCTACTAAGCGTTTTTCCTACTGCTATTTCTGCCATTGTGTTATGACCTTTTTGCCTGCTCTTTTGACTACTGTTTTTGGATTTTGGACTCTGCCTTGTTTGCCTTTTTGGACTGCCTCTTTGTTTGCTTATCGTTGCCTGGTTCATGATCACGATTCTGCCTATTGTTTGATACTAGTTGTTTGTTTAATAAACCTCCAGCTTTTGGATTCAATCCGCCTCCATGTCTTCACCTACGGCTCCCTCACAGTACTGCAGAACTGTTTTAAGCCGACCGTCACCATATGTTGCCAGAAACTACAGTGAAACTCTTAAAAAAAAGGCACTTAGGTAACGTTAAGGGTGACAGATAAGAAGTTTGTTGCAACGCTCTTAATGAAATCCCTTACCTCAGGGAATTTTCCCCTTTAGGGACACTTTTAAGTTAATTACTAAAGGACTTTAATGCAAGCCGGCACAGGTGTCGATTGTAAATGACTTCACTTTGCAGAAGAAGCGCGGTTGCCTGCAAGTCCGAGAGTGCAAGCCTGAAAGTGCAAGTGCAAATCTGCAGCCAGATTCTGCTGAACATTTGGGCGGTTTTGAAACGTAAATTGTATATGTAACTCATTTAACAAAACATAACTGTGTGCTCCTACTCCATTCAGTTAGTAGTGATCATTGCATACCGCGTGGCCCTACCCGCAAGAGGGGCTGAAGGAATGTCGTATCAAAATCTGATTCCCCGGACAAATCTGACTCCTTTTCGTGAGCACGTGCATCACGCAGCACCTGCAGTTAAACTCACAGCAGTTTATCATGACACTTTTATCCATAATTTCTTCTGCATTTAACAGGAAGAACAAACATAGAAGTGTTGTCTTATGGACAAGCAGCACCTAATTATGCTCAGAAGAATTTAAAACGCCAAATGGGACAAATTTATATCCCATTTCGAAAGCAAAACATACTCTAATAGTTAGTGTTATCTATACAACATTAAGTGCAGTGTGTGGGCGAGAGGGGGGCAGTGTTTTGATGTGATCCGGTTATTTTGTGGTTCTGTGACAACTCGTGTTAGTTGCTGCATGGTTTAAAATATATATTACAGTTAAAGTAATTAGGTTAATTTTGATTTTAATTAAATTAAATATTAATCTAATATTTTGGGAGTTTTTTGTATTGGGCAGGTTTTGGACAACTTTTGGGTCGAAAAAAAAGTCTGAAAGCTTTGATTCCTTTATTTATCTCCACAGTGTAATGAACTGCCAACAATTTCAGCAAATGTTTTATGCAGTGGATGCCCAGTTTTGATTCCAAATTTACACTTGATTTTGTATCCCTAAGGCTAACTGATGTGATGTCAATTGATTACCTGGATCTGTCAAAGCAACATAAAATTGACTTCTAATATTGTCGTTAAAAACAAGTCAAACATTGAACACAGGAGAGTCCTGTGATCAATTTTTGTTGCAATTTTTTTACACGAATGTAAGATGTCAATATGATGTCGAGGTAGTCAATAGACATTAAATCAATTTGCATTTTTGACCTGTATTTTGAAGTTGTTTTGACATCAAGGTGCCTGCTGGGAAAAAATCTAATCATCTACATTTAAAAACAGAACATCAAGGAATAGATTTTAAAGGGCAGCTAATTTACCCCTTTTAAAGATTTAAGATAATCTTTTGCATCTCCAGAATGTGTCTGTAAAGTTCAAAACACCCAACAGAATATTTATTATACCTTTTTAAATTTGTGAAATTTCTGCTGTTTGGACTTTGTAGCTGTTTTTGTTGCCTGTGCCTTTAATGCAAATGAGCTGGTTCTCCCCTCCCACCATTCCCACGTGTATGTCAGTGCCCGTAGCCTTCACAAAGATAAACAGCACAGTGACAGACAAGAATGAAGCAGATCACCTTTAGTAAAGTAAGAAATTTATTAACAGTTATTTGATATATTTGTTGTGGAGTTAATTCAAGCCTTTCTGCAAGGATGAGTCACACACAATGAAATTATTAATTTTATAATTGACTTTATATTATACATTTATAATGAACTAATGAAACTGTTGCTGTGGTGATGAATTATGTAGCGATTTTACTGTTTTTATTACAAACATGCACAGTTTTAAAGTTGTTTTAGACTTGTAAAACTTATTCTTGATGCCTCGTTGACACTAGCAGCATCTTTGTAGCTGCCTGTCACTCTGGGTGGCGACCTGATTCAAGCGCAGGTGGGTGAAGGTCTATATAGCATATATATATATATATATATATATATATATATATATATATATATATATATATATATATATATATATATATATATATATATATATATATATATATATATATATTGGCTGTTGCTCAACAAAGTCACTCTTCATTTGCATAAATTTGAAGGATTCTCAACTTTGTCACATCACTCAACACACCCGCTTGGTCGCCAATGGTCTGGAAGTTGTTTGTAGCTTGCAGTTGCGAATCGCTCCTAGTGTGAATAAGGCTTAAGGTGCTGCTGCTCACAGAAAGCTGAACAGATCATTAAATCCCTTGCTTTGCGCACATTCTGTCTCGTAGATATAATTATACAGTGTCAATTCGGTGGGCGGAGAAACTGCACTCCTACATCACGTTGCTGTGATGCCTCAAAATGGGAGGGATTTAGATCCTATTTTAACACCAGGAAATTTATAAAAAGAGACCTATTGTATTTATATCATTCCAATATGACTGTGGATACACTATACCTACTGACAGTTCTGTCGAAACAGCTTACAAAAGTTGAGTTTTATCATAGGTGCCCTTTAATGAAATCAAAGTGAGCTGATCTAAATAGTGGCATCACAACCAGCCTTACTCTAAATCTTGCTTCCATTCACCCTAGTGCATTTAGTTTAACATTGTACAATTGCAGACAAAAAGTGATTTGTCAGCTGTTGATGTGAAAACAATAACATTATCAAGTTTGTCATTTAGCCCTGATTTTACAAGTCAGCATGTGATTCAAACACCTAAGGTGCATTTTAATAGAGTAGGGAAAGCTTGATGCAGTTTGATAGCTGTGTTTCCCTGTTATAGGCTTATTTAATAATTCATGAATTAAGCAGTCTGGTTCACTTTGTAATTGCTGTTGAGAGATTAATATGGAGTAATATATTAATCTTTGATATATGACTTCACATGTCAGGGTCCCTGTGTTTGATTAATGAGCTCATTTCTTTGGCAGACCTATGGTGCATTAGGGGCAAGGAATAAACTGTGCTTGATTATTCAGACAGGTAAGATGACTCAAGTGTGACAAAATCAGCGCGATTGTACATTAGAGTTAGTTGGAATTGATTAAGAATACAAACTAAAGTGTTACCGGATTTTTTCTTAGGCACATTTATAAAAAATACTTTCCTGGCTTAATCTGAACGCTTAATGGATACATTTAAATGACATACCTCTTCCCATCTATCTGTCTGTCCTTTTTGAAGGTACTTTGTATGTGTAGCGGTGCTGATTTACTTCCTCCCTCTCCTGGTGATGGGCTGTGCTTACCTGGTGGTGGGATTGACTCTGTGGGCCAGCGAGATCCCAGGAGACTCATCGGACCGTTACCAAGAGCAGCTGACAGCCAAACGCAAGGTCTCATCAAATCATCCTCCTCTTTTCATCATTCTTCAAGTCACTGACACTTGCTTACACACACAGAGCAGGTTAACTGAGCAGACAGAGTTTACGCAGTGGGTCAGACAGGGCCGCATGAAAAAAATCACTATCAAGCTCTCCTGCTGCTGCTTTCATCTGTATTCAGTGTGTGGACAGTTTGTGTGTGTCTCATTCACCACACTTGAAGAATGTAAAGTCTAAACATACGGTTTCCTCTCCATTTGCTTTAAATATCATGGCTATTCTTATAGTGTATTTTACCATCTTAACCTTGTCATTAATTATACTCACTCAGGATTTAAAAGGATAGTCAAAAAATGAAAATGACCTCATCGTTTATTCTTTCTCATGTGGTTTTAAACCTTTAGGAGTTTCTTACTACTGTTGAACACAAACAGAGATGTTTAGCATTTTTCTAAATATTTTTTTTGTGCGTTCAACAGAAGAAAGAAAATCAAATAGGTTTTGAATAAGTGAAGGGAGAGTAAATGATGAATTTGTTTAAATGTACATTTTTGGATCAACTATTTGATCATTTAGCCAGTGTAAATTTACACAAAACACATGTATTCATTGAAATGTGGGGCAATTTTTATTTGTCACAAAACAATTCATTGAATAATATACTCGTGGTTATCACGTGTTTTAGATTCCTCTCAAATTTACAATTTACAGTTCAACAAAGAGTTTAGTTCTGCCATCTGAATTAAAATGTACAACTTAGGCTCATTCTGAAAATGTAGCCCTATATACATTTCTGGAGATTGCAAATGATTTAGCCAGAAGTAAGTATGGCTGCATTTCATCTTTAAAATGAACGCTACGGGGCACTATGATGCTGATCCTTTTCGATTTTAGCCAACAGCGACTGCTTACCTCCGTATAGACCTCGTCATGTACGTCGGCAGACTTGAGACACAGATGACAGGTTCAAGTCCAGTAAATAACAGTTCCAGAAAGTATATCAAAAACAGAAGCCAAAAAATAAATAAATAAGTAAATAACAGAGTGAGAATTTGGTAAAATCTGAAAATGTTATAAAAATTCGATGAGGAATTTTCTTTTTCTGGATTGCTTTTAAAAGATGTCGGTTGGATTTAGGGAAGTGGTTGGCCAGGTCAATCGGGGATTTTGAAAACACGGTTGGGTTAAGAGAAGGAGGGTGGGTCAGTCGATTGATCAGTCAGTCAGTCATTCAGTCATAAAGTCGACAAAAATCTCTGGTGGATTTTTGTGAGAACAGCAAGCATGAATGGCACTCACGAGAGAAATTTGAGATCTCAAAAAGCGTACATAACAGCCTCTGGTGGTTTCGCGAAAACAAACAATGCACAAATAAAACATAGCTCATGGGATGTATTTGGTGCTCTCCAGAAATGTATATAGTGGTTCGTTTTCAGAATGAGCCTGGGTTGAAAATTTACGAACAATGGAAAGTACTAAAACTAAAACATCATGAAATGAATAATCAATGCTATTTATATTGTTGCTCCTCAAGATTTACTGCAGACAATATAAAGACTTGCTGTGAACTTAAAGACTAGATTTGACCAATTCTAGCTCATTAAAGGAAAACAGAATCATCTATCAGAAACATCAAAAACAGAAAAATCTAATCTCAATATCAACAAATTCATTTGCTCCTTGTTCAAACTACATATTTAAAATTAGCTGAAACAACTCAATTCTTGAGTTTTTGGGGATAACTTTTATGTTGAGTTCACTTCATTCATCCGTTCATGTTACATCCGCTGTGTAAAACATATGCTGGAAATGTTAGCGGTTCATTCTGCTGTGGCGACCCCAGATGAATAAAGGGACAAAGCTGGAGGAAAATGAATGAATGAATAAATAATCGCCTAGTGTTGGGACAATATGTTGTGTAAAAGAATGTGAATTGTGTAAAAGCCATTATTTTTTACAGTGCTGTTTCTCATTCATCTAGCCATTATTAGGGAGGGAACTAATTTTATAGATCAAATATGCTTCTTGATTGAATAATCTTATATTTATTTCACCTTCTCTATGCAATCCAAAACTTCCTCTATACTTTTTGTTTATACCTAATAGCTTGATGTACTGTCCAGGCTCATTAAAAAAGTCTAGTTGTCTTGTCATTTATTACTTTATTGGTGATCAATAATTTTGTTTTTAAAAACAATTCAATATATTGAACAGGTTACGAGTTAAACAGGTAATACCTGATGAAATATACAATTTGTTTCATTTTATTCCACGTAATTCCAAATGGAATTAATAAAGAAGTAGAAATAGACTTTCCATAAGGGAAAATCTACATTTACCTTACACTAACCTAATTATTATAATTAATTTTTAGTTGCTAATTGGCACCAACCAATAAAGAAGAGTCAAGTGACAGATTTAATACATTTTCACTAATGATCAAAATGATTTTCAGGAGCCGGATGAGGCTGTGTTGTTAGTTTTTATAGGTCTTATTTGATTTTCTAGGTTGTTATCGGTGAATAACATATCTTGAAATGTCACAGTTGATCAATCTGAATTAAGTATGCCAGAGAGACAGGAAAAAAATGAGTTATAATTGGAATATGTGCATTTTACAAGAATCTACACTGGCTAATGTCAATATAATTAATGTAAATCAATGAAAAAAGTGCTTTGAAACTGATTAAAACAGACTGGAGGCGGCAATAAAACTTTTCTGTTTTGTTCTACTGATTATTCATCTAAAATAAACCTTGAAAGAAAATTATGTTGATTGTAGACAGTGGTTTTAGATATTAAATACTATGAAAGACTGATGCACCAAAACAAAACAATTAGTGACAAAAGACAATAGGTGCAGTCAGCTTTGTGGCATCACAATCTTCACCCAAAATGTTTTCTCAGCACACTCCGCTGGTACTTATGATGACACAATGTGACATCAGTACTACCTCTGAGCGTCTGTATGTGGCCTCGTTTTCCTTTTGAGATTCATAAACATCAAAGAAAGCTCTGACAGTCTGCTGGTGACTGAGTGATTCGCTACTACATGCTCTGGCTTCTGGTGGAGTGTGTCATATGGCGCTTTTCATGCTAATTTCAGGCCCACTTCAAGCTGTATGCTGATCAGGAATTTCCAGTGTTGTAGAGCAAAAGGTAGTTAAATGGAGCTGACCTACCTTTCACAGATGTAGAAAAGATGCAGCTTATAGAAAGCATTCATAAGGCAGCTTTATCTGTGGAAGAACAACAGTTACAACTCAAAAACTTAAATGTAATACATTTATTAGATTATTATATTACAATTTAAAGGTGAACTTGGTCATTTAGTTTTTTTGTTGTCCAAATTATATATATATTTTTTAGACAAACGTTAGAACAGTGGTTCCCAAAGTGAGGGTCGCGGGACAATAGGGAGGGGTCCCTTGGCGATTTCCAAACATCTAATTCATTTGATTAAACTATTAGAATAACCATTTTATCTATAACCTACAGAAGAACAAAATAGTAGTTAATAGTAACATTGTCAACATGTTAATATTCAATCATTCATTTTCTTTTCGGCTTTAGTAATGGGGGGGGGGGGGGGGGGGCACAGCAGAATGAGCCCCCAAATTATTCAGCATATATTTTACGCAGAGCATGCCCTTCCAGCTGCAACCCATCATTGGGAAACACCCATACACACTTACATTCCCACACATACACTACGGACTTGCTGTGAGGCAATCGTTCTACCCACTGTGCCACCCGGACGCCAACAAGTTAATAATAATCATTAAAAAACATGCAAATAAAAAGCCAACAATCTTCGATTTTTTTTTGACCCCTGAGGTGATTATGAATAGCGTCAGATGCAGCATGTTGCTTTTATGGCATCAGGTTAAACAAGACTAGACAGCTCTGCCACAAGCACAGAAAATACATAACCAACAGAACAGTGACACTTTCTTCTAAAAATCTTCTCTGGGTGAGTTAATGATGACAAAATATAGATTTTTGGGTGAACTATACCTTTAAGAAATTGAAGGTAGATGCCCTGACAGATATATGCTGTTGACAAATTACTTGTGCTCTTTAGTGTTTGACTTACATTTAATATAACTTACAATTTACAGGCATATTCTACATCTGTAAATGTTAGAAAGTCATGAAAATATTCAAATTTTACTTCCACAAGTGCATGAGCTTCTGCATGTAAGTTTGTGCTAAACTTCAGTGCAATAATACTGACTAAAACCTATTTTTTGCAAAAAATAATTGTGATTTGACAATAATTTTGCAATATTTTTTACATTATGCTTTACTATACCTATTCGTTCTTCAACTCATACAAATCTCAAGATATTAGGATGAGCCTAATTATCTCTTCATTCTAGCATCCACCACAAAGTCCTAAAAATGATTTCCTACATGACATGGACAGTGTTCTTTAGATCAGGGGTGCCCAAACTTTTTCTTATAAATGGCCAAAAACTAAATTGAGACTACTGGGCTGAAGGTACATATAGCTGCCATGGGTACTTCCTAATTCATTGGAAAACATTACTTTATATTAACTAATACAGTATATGTATTTTTTACATTTTATAATGAACTTATTGCTGCAAAAACAAATCTAATTTATAACAGAATGGAGATATACTCAATCTGCACCTGATTTTGTCTTTTGCATTGTCCCCAATCTGTCGAGTGACAGTATTTACATTGTTACAAAGTATTTATTTACAAATTTGCAATTAACATTTAAATGAAACATTTAATTTCAGTTGGCTTTTTGTAGCTTAGCAATAAAACAAACAAACAAACAAACAAAAAGGTTATTTTAAATTAGAAATGACAATCTCTGGTCATTTTGTGAGCCGAATCAAAGGTTACAATGGACCAACTTTGGCCTGCAGGCCCTATTTTAGGCATCTCTGCTTCAGATTCTTCTGTCCACTGACAAAATTCTTTTTTATTTCCCTACTTTATTTAGACTTGTGTATAGATGTGTATCTTTAATTTCATCTTTAATTTAGCAATATTTTTATCCACACTAGACTCTTCCGTTTTGAGTGTGATCATTTAATTTTGACATCAACACATTTTTTCAGTGTGCACTGGTATCCACATGAATGTGATAAGTTAGTATTGCTATTCTCAGTAGTTTATTGTTGTTCTGTTTCTTTTCTGACTGTGAAACAACAGTAGTGTTCACACAAGTGCAAACATTTTTAAAGCACAGTTACAGTAAACTACTGATGACAAAATTTGTCACATTCAAACCATGCATAAACACACCTTAAATATACTTTGAGCTCATGGGTGTTACGTTTAACATATTAAAACACAGCATGGATTACAGTTACTGTAGAAATGCGTAGTTCTCACTCTCAATAAATGGGATAAATTGCAATGCTCTTGTCCCTCAGTAGAAGATTATGTTGCCTATGCTTGTAGATGCACATTAGCATAACTAACCAGAAAAGTTTTTGTGGACTAAATGAAGCCCAGTTTGTGTTTTGAAACTAATTCCTAACTAAGACTAAACTGTCTAAACTAACTAAGACAGACGCTGATCAATGAGCTCCAGATTACAGTACATCACTTCACAGACCAAACTTCAACTTTCAAAAACAAACTTCAGTGCCAACAGACGCTGACAAAGGAAACAAGCTAATCCTACAAAGTCCAACAAATATGCACAATGGCCTGCTGGTTGCAGTTTGTCAGTGCAGTGTAAATTTGCCTTTAGAGTCCAGATCTGAAAATTATTATATGAAGCACAACCTTCATGCAGTTTGGGAGATCTTGTTGGTCCTACCTAGTTAACTACTAGGTATTTACATCAGCAAAATAAGTACAATGTACTAGGGATGTCCCGATCAGGTTTTTTTTGCCCTTGAGTCTGAGTCATTTGATTTTGAGGATCTACCGATACCGAAACCCAATCCGATACTTCTATAATACATAAAAAAATAATAAAGAAGAGCAAAGAATCAGATCTGGGATGTTCCTTATTTTTTTATTTAATTGACCTTATTCAACATTCAACAACTCTGTAAACAAACAGAGCACTTCTGTGAGGTAGCTTGAACAATCAAGTAATAAATAACAAATTCTTCCTTTTTGGACTTCAGTGCAACAGTAAATATAAAAATATATATAATATAAAAACAAATAGCACCTCAACTTAACAAGTTTACATATCTCACAGTTTGCTAGAGAAATGTTGTCATCATCAACTTTATAATATCTCCAGACTGCAATCATACTCGCACTTTCAGCTTCAAGCTGCTTCCATGTTCTACTTTGCTGGCATTTAACCCGAAGGCCTGATTTCCGATCACGTCGGATCTAGACACCCCTACAATGTATACTAAAAAATGCTGGGTTAGTTCAGCAAAAGTTGGATTAAAATATAGACAAACCCAACTTTGAGTTAATTGTGGTCTTATAAATTTAAATAAAATAAATCCAAGCATTGGTTATGTCAATATGTTGCCCAAAATTGGGCTGAAAATAACCCAGCACTTTTTTATTGTGTACATATTATATTGCGCAATACTAATGGTGCTGTTAAGGTGGAATACAGGTAAGTTTAGGGACCAGTTGGGTGGTTTAGGGTGGGTAAGTTTAAGAATGGGCAAATGTTTAGGTATAAGGTATAGGTCAACTGTGTAAATATGAATGTAATTATATGCATATCCAATGTAAAAACATTTACGCTCATAATTCAATTAAATAAATTCAAAAATAGCTGCATTGTACCAAACTTTTAAATTAAATGCAAGTACCACTTAAAGTTTACTTTAAATGAAACATTTTTTAGATGTTAGTTTCAGTATTGTGCATTTTTAGGAAATCAATAATCTAGTGTGCCCCAAAACCATGACAAAGCTTGCATTTAGAAGATATAAACTGATATAAACATGTAAAGCTTGCAGTTTGTCATTTCCGCCCAAATGGACCACCGATTTTATTCACGTAAACCCACACTTCATCACATCATAACCAATCAAATGCTCTCTAGTATCTGACATGCCCCACCCCCTTTAAGATGCTTCACATTTGCTTTTCATTTGATGCGCTTGAGCTCAACCACTCTCACTGGCAGAGCTGTGATAAAACAAAACACTATTGGCTGTTTTTAAAAAGAGGAGGAGCTATGTGTTTTGGTAGAGATTACGTCAAACATTGAATATAATGCTTATTTCAAAACACTTCATGGGACCTTTAATATAAAGTTGGACCCCAGTACACTAAAAAAAAATTATTCAAAGATGATTCCTTGGATTTACTCAATTTTTTTACGTTAAGTGGTTGTAAACAAATTATTTGTGTTGAGTTTAAACCAACACACTAAGTTGAACATTATTAAACATAATTTGTTTGTTTAAATTCAACACAAATAAATTGTTTGCAACAGTTCTGCATGCAACACTTTTTTCAGTGATATTGTTCTTATCATGTGACCTGAACATGCCGACCTTCCTGAGACATCTTGCTCCATATAAAATAAAAACAGATTTTATTAGGAAACTAATATGGCTGTTTATTTATTTATTTACAACATATTTTTATCAATGACAAATGAGTGTCCATTTAAAGCTAAAGTTTGCATTTCTATGTCTCAATAAATGATACAGGTTCCTAAATACTCACCCTGCCATCCATTTTCAGCCTCACAAGTACCTCCTAATCTCATGAAGCTGGCTAAATATGTCAGGCTGCCACAAATCATTATATCTTTCGGGGAAATCAACCTGCATAAGCCTCAGTAACTGTCTCTTCACATTACAGGTACCTGAAATAAAAGAAAAACATTTTAGCAGAGAAACAAATGACCCAGAAAACGTAATTAACTTCAGTTGAAGTTTGGCTTTTTGGTTAATGGCTCCTGCACATCACACAGTGTTAGCTCTCCAATTTCTGCATTGTATTGTCACTTTTGATGACAATATTTGCAAGCTGCTTTCTGGCGGAGGCTTAAAACCACCACCCGAAAGCTGTCGAAAAAAAATTGTTAAGGGACATTATGTCTGTCAGCATTCTGCCAACTTTGGTACAATGTGGGCAGCATGCGAAGCCCAGGAAATCAGCCCGAATGTCAAAAAGACGGTATTTATAGGCATAAAGCATAACCGTTATTGAAGATCTCTCTCTTCTTCCCCGACCTTCAGGTGGTGAAGATGATGATTGTGGTGGTGTGTACGTTCGCCGTCTGCTGGCTTCCCTATCATGTCTATTTCCTGATCCACCAATTCTACCCACACCTGTTCGAGCACACCTTCATTCAGCAGGTCTATCTGACTATCATGTGGCTGGCAATGAGCTCCACCATGTACAACCCCATTATCTACTGCTGCCTCAATGACAGGTAATTTCACCTGAAAATACAGTAATTGGCACACACATCTAGCTCTTTCCTGACTCCAGCTGAAATTTGCTGTAATATCATTATTGTTCCAAATGATCCATCTTTGTACCAGAGAAAGCAGTCTAAAGCTGTGATGTATTTTTCTCTAATCTATCCCGGTTTCACTCGGATGTTGAAAATCCATCACAAAAGCCTTTGATAGACAACAAAGCTTTAATACACTAGTCAATTTCCACCTTTAAACCTATCAGCATCATCACATCTGTTCTTCTCCAACATTCCCGATCATCTCCTCAGGTTTCGAGCCGGATTTAAACAAGCTTTCCGCTGCTGTCCCTGCGTCCCTGAAGGGTCCTACGAGGGTCTAGAGCTCAAGTCCACTCGCTACCTTCAAACCCAGACAAGTCTGTACAGGGCCAGCCGCATGGAAACCAGTGTGTCCTGCGTGATGCAGCCTAGTGAAGACGGCCATAAGGTCACATTCGGGAGCGTCAGAGGGGCTGCTGTGAAGCCAGCAGCTCGCAGCCCGTCCAGAGAGTTCACCTCCAATGGCTCATCCTCTCGCAGCATCTCCAAAACCGTGTCGGAGACCTCCAGCTTCTACTCCAGTAATAACCTACAGGAATGAGAGCGGAGAAACACAGTCATGGAAAACGAATGCCAACCACGCTTAATTGATTGATGTATCCTCTAAACGGCAGTGTAAATGCGTTTTGAAGCTGGTTGAGTACACACACGCTAAGTGTTTTTAATTTGGAGCTATCCATCATCTTTCATTCTTCTCACATTCTATTCATTAGGTTTATAATTATAATTAGAGGAACATTTCGATTGATTTTGTTTGGGAAATGCTTTCTTACCAAAGTGATGTAAATGACATATGGCATTGTGCTGACGTGTACAGTATTAGGAGCTTGCTTTATTGATCCCGCAGATATTTTTAAATGTTTACATTCAGTGGAACAAAGAGTCATTACATTGTATATATACTGAATATGACCACTAAGTTTGTCTTTTAGTTCACTATAATAGAAATGCATCTACATGACAGGAATAGGTTAAGACATATCAGAGTTGCGTTCCCTGCTTAATCCCCCAAGCCTCCACACAATGGCTAAAATGATTTCTGGGCACATGTTGTTTCTTTACCTGCTTCTGCACAGGTGCAGAATATATTGCAGACTTCACACAGTATTTTCCTTTGCAAGCACCTCCTGCCTTCAAATGCTCTAAACTGTCTGAAAAAAGAAAAGAAAATCACAGTGGCCAAAGCTTATACTATAGTTCAGTTAGAGCAACGATCCAGCATGTGAAATGAACATGAACTATGTCATTTGCCAATATACCTATGTAGCTCGACAGGCTAATATATAGAACAGTATTGAATGACTTTAAATGGTGTGCCTGGAAATACAAATAGATGTCGGTGAAAGCTCTGAATGCTATGATTTTTTGCTGCCCTGAAGAATGTGGAAGAAATGGGATGTGCAGAAAATATTTGAACTTTTTTTTTCTTTTATCTCCCCTGCCTGCTTGCCTTTATTTCATTTTTAGATTTCTTCATTTGTTTGTTCTTTTCATACCTGAATCTTTACTAAGCTCTGCCCCTTAATTACTGTTGCTGCTGTAGACAGGCTTTACATTATTATCTTGTAGGAATGAACTGAAAATGAGCATTGTAAAATGAGGTCATGAAGTGATGTGTTTTTTATTGATTTTTTAAAATTCCTCAGTGATTTTGACTTGACTGCACGTGAGAAACGCAACCGTCTGAAAACTAACAAACACAAGTTAGTTCAGTTGTAGGTTTTCAGAGTCAATTCTAGAGTACACTTAAACAAAAAATAAACATGGAATTTGTTAGCTCAGATTGCTAGTTCTGTGGGGAACAATTCATCTGTCATTAAGTTTGTTCTAATCTTTAATTGAAATTTGAAAATTCACTTTCTATTATAGTTGTTTTTTTTTCAGTAAATTGTCAGATTGTGTATATTTCAGCTATTGGGCGTGGCTAACATATTTAACCGCGCCCCTCCAACTGTCAGTTTTGGCAACAAACAAAAATGGTGAGCAAGAGGAGTCTGTTAGGTTGTAATAACTCTTCTAAAACTCTTTTGCCATCTTTCTGAATGAAATCCCACTTTACTACATCCAATCAGCTCGCAGTAGAAAAAATAAGCTATTTAATATTCTGTTTCTCAAATGCTTCAACTCAGTTGAAGTCAGTTGAAGAATTATTAGCTGTTTATTTTTGTCCCCCAATTTATGTTTAATGGAGAGAAGACACAACATATTTCTAAACATAATAGTTTTAATAACTCATTTCTAATAACTGATTTATTTTAACTTTTCCATGATGGCATTAAGTTGGGTAAATAATATTTGACTATACATTTTAAGACACTTCTATACAGCTTAAAGTGAAATTCAAAGGGTTAACTTGGTTAATTAGGTTAACTAGGCAGGTTAGACTATCGAAAAAAAAATAGCTTAAAGGGGCAAATAATTTTGACATTAAAATACTTTTTTTAAATATTAAAAACTGCTTTAATTCTAGCTAAAATAAAACATTATATATGTATATGCCTTTATTGGTACTTATTTCATCTATTTTTCTACTAAATAGACTTTTATGCACTCTTAAAGATTTTAAAGGGTGTTTTTCCATAGAAAACCAGTTTTGGATCCCCAAAGAACCTCTCAATGGACAGCTCTTGAAAGAACCATTTTTTTAAACACTTTTTGATATTTCTTGAACAGACATTTTTCTTTTATCACATACTGTTTTCACCTAATATATAATCGCAATATATATATAAACAATATAATTATAATCTAAAAAATTAAAAAATTCAGTTTATTAGTTGTAACTACAACTTCTATGAGAATGGGAATATTTTTTACAACTTCTAATCTCATAATTACAACATAGCGTGATTGCAACTGTTTTTAAGCATCTCACTTGATCTAAATATATTCTGCGTTTCATACAACCACCTTGCTCTTCAGTAGCAAATCTATAGTTAGTGTTGCATAATCCCACAGTTATTGTTGTGACTCTCTATCTATCTTATTAGTGAAACAAGTTGGAGAGAGAGTCGACTAAATATATTGGTTCTGTGACTCCAAAGCCCTGGGAATTGAAGGTGGAAAGTGTTTTTTAACTACTGGCTATATGCTAGGTAATTTTTTTATCAGGCTGACTCAAATTCTTTTGGCGAAAGATGCTGCTTTGTTTGGCGAGTCTTTTTGCTGGTTACATAAATGACAAGTGGCCTGTTGAGAGTGCATTTCAGTACTTTGAGTGTTTAAATCATTAATATTAGTTTTATGCTCATTTTGGAATTTCACATAGAAAAATTACTTAAAGGACATGTAGAAAATCTTAAAAACATTAAAAATGTGCGCATACAGCTGAGTAGGATAAACTTTTTATCTGATACAAAAGTGCATAAACTACACCGAAACAAATAATTCATTTGATTTACTAAATACTTTTAAGGTAAGTGGTTGCTAACTATTTAAATAGGCTAAATTTAAACAAACAAATTAAGTTGAACATTGCTAAACAAAATTTGTGTGTTTAAATTCAGGATGAATAATTTTGTTCAGTGTATGATGGAAACAATAATAAATTCTAGGATGTGCATCAAAAAAGTTATGTGATTTTGTTTTAACAGATCATGTGATAACAACAACGAGCATTTATGGGACGGCATTAATGGACAAACCAGCAGACTGACCACATTCCACAACATCTGAAATGTTGTTTTGGTCTTTCTAAAATTCCTTAACCAAAGTGGTTCAGAATTATTACCTCAGAACTGTCTTGAGTGGCTGAGTTTCCAAACAGTGGTATCACGCCTCTAAAATCCACCACACATTCATAGTGTTTCTGAGGCGCAAGTCATTTAATATATATATAAAAAAAGGCCCACAGTAGCTTCTCCCACCACAACAAATTCCACTTTTTCTTTGCTAAGAGTTTTTTTTTTTTTTTTAAACAGTGCTAAATTTGTAAATGTTTTATGTTTTATAGGGCTAATTTGGATCTTTAGTATTTGCATCTAATCTAATCTAGTATTTTTTTTTTTCACTTGATTATGTTATAAAATTACATTATGAAACCTTGATCTTTCCCCCGAAAGCTTTTGATGTTGAAAAGCTTATTAAAGTGACTTTTTATTTACATTTTCTGTTATTTTACAGACTTATTTCTCCATATATTATTTCCTAAACATTATCTTGTCTCAAACTACCAAAATTTAAATAAAAGTTACTCTTTTGAAACTGCACAGTTAAATTTTCATCATCAAAAGTGGACAGAGCAGAAATAAAACTCCTATAATGCAATTTACAACTGCAAACAAACAGAAAACAGCTGTGAATTACAGAATATGGAAGCTAATATCTTTTTTTGTCTAACTATTTATTCTAAGAAAGTACCTAAAAAAGAGGATTATTTCAGACACAGGCATTAGTTGGACATAGTTTCAAGGATGTGAACAGCCCTGAGATTAAAGGGTCACTTCTTGTCATCTCCAAATTACAGTAATTTGAACATGACATGAACGCAGCATCTCAGTTGGGTCAGGAGTTCGACACAATTTACCAAACTATGATTGAAAGAGATTTTACAACTTTGTTAATGTTTAACTAGGTATTTACATAAGTAAAAATGTACAATGTACACTCAAAAATGCTGAGTTAGTTAGACAAAAATGAATTCTAATTTGGACAAACCCATCTTTGGGTTATTTTGGTCCTATAAATTTAAATAAAGTGAATCCAAGCATTGGTTTTGTCAATGTGTTACCCAAAGTTGAAATTCTGGCTGAAATGACCCAGCACTTTTTTTATTGTGATCATGTTGTATTACGCAACACTTATGGTGTTATTGAGGTGGAATACAGGTAATGTAAGGGACAAGTTTAGTGGCATGGTTAGGTTAAAGGGTGGATTCATGTTTAAGGAATGGGTCAACTGTGTAATTTAATGTAATGTAATTTATTGCTGAGGTTTGACTGGTCAGTAACATATTTACTAGGCAGGACTTATTTAGTAGTCAACATTTGAAGAAGGTCATCAACTTTCATCAAAGTTACCCTAAAACTATTGAACAACACCAATTCTTGCTCAAGGACAATTTTTGATTCACTTCGAATGGTGACTACTGTAGTGAAGCATCCATGTAGTTACTCTCTTGTAGATACACTTGCACTCATACTGGACAATGGTAGAGTAAAATTAGCTCTTCAAATAGCTCTCTGGTTACTGTCACAGCCAGAAATATGATACCGAGGTACAAGCCATTGAGGGACAAAGAGGGTGAGGAGGGGGGGGGGGTGTTCCTCAAAGTTACAGGAAGGATGTAGGGATGGGGGGGGGGGGTATGGTTGAAGTGAACACCTGCTGCTGTTCTTGACCAGGATTGTAACAGTGGTGTCCGCTTTCCAAAATGGAGGAACATTCTGTTCCTCAGCATGATTGGACAGAGCGGCTGTCCAGAGCGTGTTTGTGGATCAGAGCTTTCGCACAGCAGCGGAGGGCTTGTTATGATGATGCAACATGTTCAGAATATTTCAGACCGCAAATGACTGTGATCTGAATGTGCCTGACTGTTTGACA